ATATGTATATGTATATGTGTGTATATATATATATATATATATATATATATATATGTATATGTATATATGCATGTAGTGTATGTATAATATATATTCGTGTATATGTATATAAAACAGTACAGAATAATAATAATAATAATGACATAATGATAATAATAATAATAGAATAATAAACGGTTTTATATATATAATAGTAATAATAATTATAATAATTTATATAAGTATGAATAAGTAAAAATTTACTCGTGACTGGTCTGTATGGCCTCCTTGAAGTTAGTACTCCACTTCCAGCCATACTAAAAAATTAATATTATTTTCACTATCTGTTAAGCTGTAATCTGTTTCTTTTTTATATTTGTTTTTTTTTTCATTTTTCCTTCTATTTCTTTTTTTCTATTTTGATTTTTCTATATATAGCTTTCGTATGTATAATAGCTTGCATAACCCGTGTCGCACGCGATTTTTGCAAAACCAATGCGAAAAGAGAGATCTTCAAAGCAGTATCTCTTTTCGCTACGTACGTATTATTAAACACGCGTCTGATTCGCTTCGGCAACATCGAGTTTGATCGGCGTTGCCGATCAAACAGCCGGTTGTGATACGAATTACGAGAAAAAAAAAAAGGAAAAAAAAGGGAAGACTCTCGTCGCGATGCAAATTTCCGTCGTTGAATCACAACTAACACTTATGAATGATCTGACAAAACATCGTGATCAGCGTCGTCGAAGACGAGGATTGTAAAAGCGATCTGCGCTCTATATCACTTTAGGCGATTTTATAGCTCTTCGCATCTTGCGCGATTTCGCGAATGATAGCTTTTGTATATTCTCGTCTTGTTATCAATGAAAATCACCTGTGTAGTGAAATGCAAGACGCAAGATGCGAGATCGCTTTATATAAATAGTAAGGAATAGTAAGCAGTATTTGATATAATTCTGAAGATAATTAAAGCAACGCGACGTTTAGCCAAACGTTGCATTGCCACTCTTTAAGCAATCTTCGAATCGCTCTCGAAACGAATGAATGACGATGAGAGAAAGACAGAGATAGTGAGGGGGAAGGAAGAGAAGCTCGAGACAGCCGATCCGAGCGATTCGATTCTTCCGATAATTCATGAACGATAAGCATCGACGGCTACGAATGTTTTGTCACACCATGCGCTAAATGTATAAAAAATATCTATACTATCGGGGCACAGCAAACATTGAAAATATTGGTTTTATGGATAATAAGGGTGGAAGGATCCATATCACAGAAAGAGAAAGAGAGAAAGAGAGAGAGAGAGAGAAAGAGAAAGAGAGAGAGAAAGTGAGAGAGAGAGAGAGAGAGAGAGAGAGAGAGAGAGAGAGAGAGAAACACAAGTTGCAGGAGAATTGCATTTTTTATTTCCGGAACACTTCCGTTGCGATGCTGCATTGTCGGTTCAAAAAAAGATATTAAAAAAACGATGAAACTTTAAAAAAAGGAAGGAGATAGAGTTCGCGAAGGAAAGAAAGAAAGAAAAAAAAAGAAAGAGAAAGAGACAGAAAAAGAGAGAGAGAAAGAGAGAAAGAGATAGAGAGCCATCATCATGTCCAAGTATGCGACTTTTTATTTTCGGGAGGACCGTGTGTGGCCAAAAAGATGGCAAGAGAAATTCGATTGTATTTCACACGAGTGGAAATGAAGATGTTGCATTTTCCGAGATCGTCGCCGCTGCAAGATGCTTGCTAAGTTAATTTCCATCGCAATTGTAAATCAGAAAATAGAAATCTTTGCGCAAATGTGTCGATAACCGACAATCAAGTCGTATAACGCGAAAGTGTTGTAATCTAAATTATTATAATAAGTATAATTATTATCCTATTATAATGATAAATTCAATTAGTGCTATTATCGGATGCAATTATTGGACTCTTGAATGGCGAGTGATGAATTTCATCCAGATATACATCACGTGAGCGACAGATTTCTAAAGATATGTCTCATACACAAGTGTATTTGTTTAGATATGACGCATGTGAGGAGAAGCGATCACATGTTTTGATCTTTCCTGAGGAGATTTACATCAGATATGCTGTCAACGATATTGTCAACGATAGTGATCCAGAACAAACAAAAGATATCTTTTAGGATAGAGATAAACGAAATTGCGTGTTACGGATCTCTGTTCTTAATTCGACAATTGGAGACAGAGGTTTCACTCGAAAAAATATCCACCTTTACATTTCAAATATTGCAGGTGCACAGAAAAAAATACGCGTAATTTTAAATCTCCTTCATTTAATTTTGAAGATTTGGAAACATTTGTCCGATTAAAAAAAATTGCCTATCGATATTACTTACTTTCATCTACGAATATATATTAATATGCACGATTTAATAAAATTTTGCAATTATGCGTTATCTTATTTCCTATTTATAAACATATTGTACAAATTATGCAAGTCAATTTTGAAAACATAAGCAAATGCTTACATTGCATTTACATTATCTAAAATCAGTAATTAATTTTACTAATATAGTAAAATTTTTATTTCGATATCGGGTGACACAAAGCGACATTGAAAACGCAGATGTTGCAAAATTTTGTTGTATTGTATTATAATACTAACAATTATATTGTCGTATTGCTATTCATCGATGAATAAAAAATTTTAACGCGTTTCCATATTTTAATTTTCTCATTGTAAATATACTTCCACTAATTTGATGGCTGCTGATTACTTTGTCTGTCTAACTATGCCATCATTGTTCCATTTATAGTTTCAAAAATATAGATAATCGTACGAAATGTTAAATCTAGCCATAATTTAAAATCCTAAAATTTAACATTCTCATTTATCCTGCAATTTATTAATGATTATTTTTTATATTTAATTGAGTTAAAATTTAAATTTAACGATACTAAAGATATGCACATGTACTTTGATAAGAATTTCAAAAGAAATGCAGAAATTGAATCATTTATACATATATTAATAGTTAATATTATTACTTGTGATTGCAAAGTATACGTGCATTTCAATTTTATCATAATTGCCCGACATTTTGACATGAGAATATTAAGACGGAATTTCAAAATTTATATTTATAACATGTGGAATAATACCCGTGTTGAAAATTCAATTAATATAATCGGACACAATCACACAGACAAATTTTGATAATAAAATCTATTTTCGATATTGTGCATTGCAATAATCTATATCAATGCTGTTTGATCCAACACGTCACAAGTGTGCGTGTATGTGTATGTTAAATAAATTATTATAAGTATATACAATACGTATATGACGTAGATATGTATACGAGTATGCATATGTACGCAAAGAGAGAAAGAAAGAAAGAGAAAGAGAGAGAGAGAGAAAGAGAGAAACAAGTACTTTACGTATATGATTATAGACATATTTATATATGTACCAGAACAAAACTCTATATCACTCGTTGCATGCGCTTATTAGCATAATGGGAATAGGGGGGTAAGCGGTGATCGGAATAGTATAGTACACGTCTCACTGCAAAATACCATATCGGCTTACTTATGTGGGACAAGAAAAATCTACGAAGCATGGAGTGATCTCATCGATGCTCTACTTTGTTAACAGATATCACATTGTAATGTTGCCATTATGTCAAAAAATGTTCAATGAATGAATTCGCAGAGATGATACAAGAAGCTGCAATGGGCACGATCGTAGTTTCCTAATTCTCTTATAAACTACCTTTCGTTGAACAGTTTGCGAGTTTGCATTAAAAAATGTATAATTAAATACGTAAAAAAATAATAAAATATGTAACATATAAAAATTTGTCAATATATTACGTATAATCTTGTTTCTCTTTAAACAATTGTGCGATAAATTATTTTACTTTTATGTGGGATAGATTTTACAAATACAGTAAAAAATATAGTTTAAAAAAACCCTAATTTTTTATGCAAAATACTGTTTAAAATATATTTATCTCAATGAAAATATATATATCTCAAGACATTATTTGTTACATATCTTCAAACATTTTAATAATATAAAATAATTAAATCTTTCAAGTCAAAATTATTTGTCTAAAAAAATCTATTTCAAGTTAATTAACACAAGAAATATTTTCTTTTATTTTTATATTTTTCCTATAAAAAGAAACTCACCGAAGAAATGAGTGCGTTAGGATTAACGCGTTTTTGTTAAAACATTTTATATATATGGCATTATTTAATAATATTTTATAATATTTGATACTCATTTGAATCGCATTTCTCTTGAAACATATATTCGTAACATTTACATTTTGTTCGTTAATTACGATCCATGCCCATCTTTTAAATTTCAATCATCACACGGATCACAGTGTGTGTGCCGTGCCACTCGCGACAAAGTGTGCCACACGACAAAATGTGCACAGAATGAAAAAAATAACGAGGAATTTCCTCATTTTCTGGGCTTTCAATCGTCGGAAAACTCGATCCGACAAACGTTCTTTAAGCGAACGAAATTAGCATCGTTCGCAATCAATCGTATCACGATTACACAGATACTCTCTCTACAAGAAAAAAAGGATCTTCACAATCATAAAAAGCATCAGGAAATTTCTTCCGATTAAGGATCCCGAAATTCCAATCGCAACTAACGTTAACTTTTTACAATTATTCCGGGTCTTTTTTTTCTTCTTCCTCAGGAAAGAGGAAGTCGAAGAGGAAGGAGAATGTGGATAAAAATGTTCAAGCGTGACACGCGAATCGATCAAGGAGAAAACTCGAGGATATCTCATGCAACGTGGGGATGGCGTGTTTCCGGAGCCGGAGATAAGTGCGTTTTACGCGGGTGCGACGAGCGAAGAAAAAGTCGGAATAGGAGATTGGAGTAGAAAGGATGGATAGAAGATAAATAGATAGGGAAAGAGAAAGAGAGAAAGAGAGAGAGAGAGAAGATAGAGAAAGAGAGAAAGAAAGAGAGATAGAAAGAAAGTTAGAGAGAGAGAGAGAGAGCGAGCGAGCTAGCGAGCGGGGCCAATGGAGCGGTTACCTTGGAATGCTGTGCCGTTGTCGGCGTTATTGGCGGTGTTTCCTCGGCATCTACGCTCGCTGCGTTTGGTAATCGCTGCTCTTGCACCGACGCCAAGCTACAACAGAAACCGAATCATTATCTGATCGGGATTAAAAATTTGGCAACGCTACATATTGTCGATTTATAACGTGTCAAGGAGAACGTGTAACCGGTATTATTTTTATACAAATTTTGTTAGCGAGATAGTTTCACGTGCATCCTGTTCTCTGCAAATGAAGATAATTTAAATTTTTAATACGTTATAGAGAACAAGGCTCACAATTAACTTTGCATCATCTTTATAAAAATGAGCGTGCATAAAATTGCATGCATAAAAAGATTTGAAGCCGTGACATCGATCGATTTAATTGTCTAATGCTAATCTCATCGAGAATGTCTGTTATTATGAAAATACTTCGTGAAAGAAAATGGATATTGGTCAAACAATTGTGTCAGTACATTAGATAGATTTCCTTGACAATTTTTCAAAATTATACAAAATTATAGGCTATATTATTAGAGAACATGTTTTAGTGATTATCGACGATAATGATGACCGGATTATTAATAATTAGAACTTGAACATAACTACAAGAACTATAGATATACATTTTATTGTCAAATACATATAATTTATAATAAATAATTTAAAAGTTATACACGATTATACGTTCTCCTTTGATAGTCTGCATTTATTTATTGTAATATCTCTACATTATATAATAATTTCTTTCTGAATTATTTTATCCCCCATGTTGTGACTTTAACTATAATTTGCATAAGCAAATTTAACTATCTTGTTTAGAGAATCATCGTCAATAGTGTTTTAATAATACAAAATCGTACCGTTTGAGCGTCACCAATGTGCCAGTGAGTTTCTTGCAACGTCTCAACGCGGACTCTAATCGTTCAGGTTCTTCCTTGAGGAATTTCTCCTCGCGTACCACTTTCTCCATTTCGGAACTAAGCAGACCCTTCATACCCTCCTGCAGACTTGGGAAACGTACCTTCAGATCAGCAACAGTTTTGCTAGAAAGTAAAACTATATTTAATTAAACACGAAGAAGTGTTCAATTCGTATAATTTTATTTTACATTTTATATTAGTATATAAAAAAATTTTAATGTAGAGATTAAATATAAATCTAACATTTACAATTAATATTAACTGTGCGACGGCACTCTCTACTCAAGTAGAATCAAAACGCGCGTGTGCGGTTTACCTGGATTTACTCAATATCAAAGCCATGTTCTCCACATCCGACATATTGACACGCGTCTTTCTATTGATCACATTACCGCGAAGCTCCTCCACGGTGCTCTCCAGCTCGCTGAAATTTGCGAACATCCCGTAACGACGGTTCGAATTGTTTTTCTATCTTTTTAAGTATCATCTCAACAGAGCGGTAATACTCACGTGAGATCTTTTTCCAGCCTTATCATTTCTTGCTTGTAGAGGTCTTCCTCGCGGCTCAGTCGAATCTTTTCTGTATCCCCAGCTGTCCAGGCCGCATCCCCTCCTGACAATAGCATAGCCCTGTAACAATAATCGGTTGAATTAAATGATGATCAATAGTTTTCCCAGATATTGTACAAATTATGTACATTTATTATACGTATATACTTTTTGTAATATTATAATAATATTTGCAAAAAAATTATCGTGCGCATCGTGATGTTTCTCTTGATTCAATAATAAAATACAGTGATCTAGAATGAAAAGTTTTTTAATACCTAATCGTGATGAATGTGTCCCTGATGGTTTCGCGCACTGTATGGGCCTGTGCCTGCGACATGCGTCTAAGGTTCCTCACTTCCTGTCTGAGATCCTTCGCCTTCTTCTGCAGACCTCGCAATTGATTGTACATCTCTGGCGTGAGTGCCAGGTCCCGATACACGTATTGGCCAGCCACCAGGGCGGCTGGTTTCGGCGGTGGAGTCGGCTTGTGCCTGTCCCTCTCTGCAATTAGTCATTCACGCATAAGTACACGTAATCTACTGTAAAGATTTCCGTCAACATTTAAAGGATTCAAGCTCGCATCGCATTCTTTCTTTCGTGCGAAATCCAGAATGAAAAAAAGATTACAAAATGAAAAATTTGCACTGACACAAGTATCAATCTGATTTTTTTTTAGTTTCTCTCATAATTAGTTTTTGACAGAATTTATTGAAGAGAATATTGATTAAAATAATCATCGACAAGTTTCAGTTCAATCAATTTTCTAACAATAATTAATTACAAAATTATTAATCGAGAAAGATGATCACATAACTATATTTTTATTTTTCTAATCAAGTGTCAAAATGAAATGCATACATGTTTTATTATATTTCGCATTTGAGCAAATAAAGTTTATGAAAGCCAAAACGCGATGACGCATAAATGATTCATCAGCGAAATTTCGAGCAAACGGCGGCTTAATCGGCTGATTAGATTTGACATTCGTCACTTATTGTCATTGACTGTAATAATTTCGCACGATAGAAGAGCGGGCCCTAAGTAATGAGAGGACGGAGGCGACGGTTAAACTGATCGGCGACAACACAATTTTACTGTCACTTTTTATTGTCGCGATTTTTATTGGAGGGATGACGAACGGCGCGATGAAAGAACGGAAAAAGGATACAACAGATGATCTAATTGGCGGATGAAAATATCGTCCATGTTTCAAGCCAAGGTCCGTGTGCGTGTTATTGCGTGTTATATAAATATTTTTTGTGGTATGTGATATATATTTCGCTAATGTGTGCCACATTTTCTCTTTTAGGAGAGCGTAATTATTTTTACGGATATAGACGCGTCGATTACCGATATTTTCATTGGCGATAAATTCGAATAGCAATATATCACGAATGAGTAGTAATTTTTTTTGCGATGTCAGCACGTCTTAGTTAATTTTTTTTGCGATATCCACACGTCTTAATTTCCTGAGCTCTCTATCTCGTACAAAAGCATGCACAAATTTTTACGTGTATTCATAGACAGATGTAGAATAGATGCATATTAGTTTTAATGATTAATTAAAATGGAGATACACATTTTATTATAAAATTCTGTAATTATATTTTTGTAAATAAAACAAAATTTTGATTTTAAATGTCTGTAAAGTTAAGTAAGAATCTTAAAAAATATATATGATATCCCGTAATAAATAAATTGAATTTGTTAAAATTTGTTCAAGAATATTTGAATATAAATGATAATGTGCGCTTTTTTTTAAGAATCGAATTACTCAACAATCCATTTCAACTAATGTATTCACCAGTGCATCTACTCTAATGTCAAACGCGCCGCATGTGCGATGTCCTACATGTGAGACAGTTCCAGATGAACCGATTCCATGATATGCAACGTGACAGTGATAAGCAACGTCGTTCCAGCGGGCAAATAAAAATACGACACCCGAGTCAGATGAATAAAGGATGAATTTACGAGGAAGAGTGAGAAAGTGGGAGGGTGAGCATAAGACGGATGTATCGTGACGCTTTCGAGCAATCGGTGGCAGCAGATATGTAGCCGTGATACATCGCTCGAAGGGTAGGTCCGGGGGGTAGAAAGAGAGAAGGAGAGAAGGGAATGAAATCGCACATGAGCATCGAATGCGAAGCGAAGAAATGTACATATTCGTCACAAATGTCCCGTAAAATGATACGGACGTATGAATTGTGTCTTTTTTCACGTTTTCGCAGCACGAAAGCATACGTTTGGCGCGAAAACGTTGCGCAAGACAATCCGATCGTTCGTCAAAACGATGATATATGAAGGGCACGTAGAAATGGGCGTACAATCGTGAACGTTTTTTTAACGACTATTGTCGTCAAACGTTGTGATTTAAAACATGATGCGAAATAAAAGAAAAGGAGAGATGTAGCATGAATTTTTCACTCGGATAAAGTCGCATAATTTTTCAAACTTACGCAATGTAATTTCAAAAAGAGAAAAATCACAGAAAGAAAGAGAGAGAGAGAATTCTGTTCGTCGAGTAAATATTTTAGCTGGTCATCGAATATAATTAGTATGCAGTATAACTTTGTCAAAGTAACTTTTGCGAGGTTTGTTTATACATGTGTTTCTGAATTTTACATAAAAATACATGCAAACTCTATATATAATGCTTAATTTATTTGTTTTCCGTTTTTTGTCTGGACTGTACAGTTTGCTTTTCTCGCATACCTTGAAAAATCGATTTATATGGAAATAAACACATTAATTCGTTTAAATTCAGCAATGTCGACGTGCAGCGCTCATCTCAACTCTTTATTGAAAATGGACTTACAATTTTCCGGTGCCCTCCATACAGTGTCGTCCCAGGAGACGAATAAAAAATTAAAAAGTAGAAAACTTTGAAACGGCGGAACGACACAAAAGATTCATGTATCAAAGACTTGGAACGACGCTCCATTATGAATAACATATATAGACACAGCGTGACACATATAAGGGAGAAGCATAGATATTAAGATTGGAATTATTCGGGTAACGTGACATTTGCAAAATTATTTGGCGACCATTGAATATATTTAAATATTTTAATTAATATTTAAGTTATTCAAAGTTATTCAGATTTAATATAATAATGGAATATTTTATCTCTTGAATTGCATCTTAAATTAGAATATTATTTTTTCAATATAATGGAATATTTATAAAAATATTATTTTTATATTATTAGAGTGAATTTTTAGAAAGAAATACTTATTAGATATTATCTGACAATGAAAATATAAAAATTTAATAAAAAGAAACTATAAGTATGAGAAATAATATATTTTAAGAGAAGTCAAAATTTAAATTATATTTATATAAATATATGAGCTCTCTTTTTGTTTGATTAAAAAATATAGATTCTCTTTGTAAATACGTGAAAATTTGGCCGAATAATCCCATTCTTAATAGAGAAACACGGGGAAATTTTACCTTGCGACGACATCCTCGGCAACGTGGAGGATTTGATAGCCGGTTTCGTAGGTTTTGTGTCCGCTAGTCGTGGTAGGCATTGCAGAATCGTACGAGAGCGTTAGAGATTGCGTTAGTATTCATTATCGCGACGGGATCGATATTTTCTCATAGATATAGATATTTCACTTTTACGAAATTTTCCTTCGATTAAATTGTATTTCTACAACATTAATATTATATTCACTGAATACTGAATATAATATATATTAATCGTAGGAAATGAAAACAAATTAATTTAGGACGCTTATTTAAAATTATTACTAAAAGCAAAAATATTACTAAAAGATTGCATAAAGATTAAATAAATTGAATAAAGTAACGATGCAAGTTGATAAAAATATGTACATTTAACATGTGTAGCAACATTATTCCTTGGAATAACACAACATACATGTGTGTGTGTGTGTGTGTGTACACAAATTAAATTAAGTTATTATAAACAATATCGTTTTTGATATCATTAAATAAAATTAATCATTTAATAAATTGTAAATTTGTTAATGCAAATGAAAATAATTTAACGTCTGATCAATTATTCGATTGTGCAGATCGATCAAAATCGAGCATGAATCAGACAATTAACTTTGCAAGATTTTGAAACACAGTTCCAATCAATCCAGATCAATTAATTATAGGTCTTTCGAAACTACAATCGAAATCAAACTCAAAGATATATATTCTTCGATTGTGACAAATTTGCATACAATTTCTGCTCATTGCAAAACAACCAATTATATCTCGAGTCATTCTAAGCTATTATGCAGTTTTTATTGTTTCGGTAAGACCTAGATAATTAAAAAAGAAATATTAGAATTGTTCGGTGTATCTGACGTTTATCTGACATTAAATGACAACTTTTGGATTTTGCTTTCGGTTATTACGCTAGCGCTCAGGCAAACGTTTACCACTTTCTCGATAGGCGATCTAACAACGTGTGATTTGATATTCTGACAGCATGCTTACAATTAGCATACATTTTTGCTCGTTTATACGTGACGTGCGCTAGCCGTTACCTGCATGTTGCGGGGAGTGTTGTTTGGGGGAGTTCATGTCTGGTGGCTCGTCACTGAAGGACACTGACTTTTCAAACGACACCGACTTGTCTGGAATAGATGTTGATCAGCATATTTCTGCGTGATATATGTGCGTTAAGCGTAAAAAGCGTGTACCGAATGGAATTAACGCCGGCTATACGGATGCTTTCGCATAATCGAAGAAGTTCTATTTACCAGAGAGATGAATATTAATTAAGCTAGAAGGTCAACTTGGGATTATGCTCCTTTTGATATCTTTATAACTTCTGTTATTTCAAAAATTTAAACTAATTTACAAATATTTTAAACATTGCACTTGCAAAGTCATCTCTATTTCTAAACAGCTGTTTTCTCTGTTGATCATCCCTAAAGCCGGTGGCGGATAAACCGATTATGAAAATGTAAAGATTTCGATCTATGCATCGTGCAAACGAAAATCATAGATGAATGCAAGGAATATAAAATTAAATATATTATAGCATTTTTAAAAGACGATATTTCATATTTGCATGGAAAAAAAATAAAAAATAATCGCGCAATTTGAATACTAAAAGACGACTTTAAAAAGTGAAAAAAAAGTTCGCGGATGTCACTACAGATTTAATAAAAAATTTCAAATTATTGATGCTATTAAACTTTTTTAGAAAAATTACCACAAAATTATACATATAATCAAAAAAATAAAAAAGCGGGGACAAAATAAAAAGGCACGAATGTGCGAGACGTATAACGATGGTAACGCGAGAGATGAGAAGCGGCAATGCATTTGCGAGAGCAAGTGTGTGTGCATAAAGGAAACATATTTTGAAGCGCACCTTTGCCTAATTTTGGCGGTTTAACGTCAGTCCTTAAGTACGAGTCATCTGTAACGGCAGGTTGAGACACTTGAATTTTAAAGGACACGCGTTTTATTGACGTCAATAAAAAGGTAGAGATATAACGTTAAATATAATAATAATAATAATAATAATATTCATAAATATATGAATATATATAAATATATAAGATAAAAATATTTTAATATATATGTATATATATAAATATAAATAGAGCGGTTAATACAATGATTCGGAGGTGAATAGAAGATAGAAGAAGATGAGAGACACACCTGGCAGTGAGGCAGAGCTGGAGCTAGAATGTTTGTCGAACTCATCCCCGGCGCCTGGTGTGTGCGTTAGTCGGAATAACAAAGCAGTTGTACAGCAGGGTAGTTTAGGAGAGTTCAGTCCGTGAGACTTTATCGCCCCGAGCAACAATATACCGTTCAATTGTATCAATTTGTTACACGCGAAAATTTTCGCAAAATGTGCAAATATAAAAGCCGAGAAAAAGCTTATGAATTAAATTATTAAAGTTAATTATATACAATCATTTATCGATTCAAATTAATTTCAGATTCTTTCTACACTGCATATTAAACTCCTCAACTGTATGATTATAATATTGCTTGAATTATCTTTAATATTGATATTAATCAATTAAATAAATAAATGTTATAGATTAATATATTTTTTCAATCAATTATTCATTTAAAATTGTATCTACATGTGTGTATTAATGCAGTTTGCTACTTTTTGTTTGTTCTATTATACTAACGAACCGATATTATTGATATCAACGCGTATTCGAAATATATGTGCGTGTCTAAATAATACGTCCAAATATTCACAAGCTTCAACTTTGTTTCGAAACATGTTAGATATGAATAATAATATTGGCATATTGTTGCTGGCGCGTAATTCACGGCATAAATTCTTCCAAATATATATGTATGTATATCTGCATGTATGTATGCAACACACATATGTATGTATACGTATGCAAGTTTATATCTAAAATTGTGTCGTTTCAGTGAATTGCGACTTATCCAGAAGGCGACCACGATCGTTATTATTATTACATATCGTTCAAGACTGGAAATATAAAATGATGAAAATGCCAAAAATTCTTGTCAATTTTTCTTATACTGATGCATTCTTCATATAATTTTTTACACTTATTATTTGTTTTTTACTTTCTTTTGTATCCATATTTATAATTGTAAAATTTTAATAATATTGAATTTTATTATCAAAATTATTATTTTAACATTTACATTCATTTTGAATTTTTTATCTGCGATAATCTAAATTATGTCAAAGAAGAAATTATAATTATTAATTATTAATTCTATTAAAAGATTAGCGTAGCCGCCTCGTTTTCTAATGATCTAATGATCTAATGATGCGTTTACGATATGATGATGTTATTAAAAACCGTTTTAAGATGTCTGAGAGTAGTCGAAAGATGATGAAGTGGATAGATGAACAGGCACGGATGAAACGGACAGATGAATATTAGTGGAGACTACTTTATATGTAAGCTGTGTAGCAGTCTCTCATATGCTTCTTAGCTGAAACTATCTTAGTGAATTAAGTGAATGCGCTAACTCTTTTATAAAATGAGCACTAAAATGAAGAAATTAAATGACATCGCTAAAATCGATCGTCTTAATTAAGACAAAAATTTCCCAAAAGTAAGTCATGATGGCATCTATATGACTTGTCTCAAAAGAAAATAGAATGATTTTATTTATAGTCTTTTATTAAATTTATCTAGAATAAAACGTGATTAATTTAGTGAAAATATTGATTTTTCTCTTTTTGCCAAGAATTAAATTTTCTTTCTTTAGAATACTTAATGAATGATATATAAATTTTTTTCTGACCAAGAATTCTTTAATGCAACATTTAAGAAATAACCAAATGTTAAACTTTGCAAATTTCTAATATTGAGAAAAATAAAATTGTAGTAACTTATTTCCCGAAAGAAAATCATGTTGAATCAGATAAGTTTAACAAAACGAAATAAAACATTCCATTTTGATTTAGAGACAAATTCATATTCTTTCGCGATGATATGTTATCGAGAACTAAAGAAAAAGATGCTATGGCATGTTAGATGTGAAAACAAAACAGAAAAGCCTAGAGAAAAAGTAAGCTACGATTTTTACAAGATGCGTACCTGCGGCTCTCGCGTAAGGATCTCGTCCTGGCGGGACTTGCAAGTACTCTCGTGGCGAAGGGCTCGTATGTGGAGCATGTGTCAAAGCTTTCTGCACGAGCCCGGTTAGATTGGCCAACTGTCTTTCCATGTGCTCCACTCTTATCCTACGACAGATAATTCTTGATTAAAATGTTATGATATTATTAATTTCAGTAACATCTACCGTTTCAAAAATGGAGAATTTCGACTTTATTCTCGATGGGTAATGAATGTGATAATGAATACTGCAAAAATTATAACTTTCGACAAATGTTATCTATCATTATCTCTTTGGACAAAATTTCATGCGCCACAAAATACAATAAATGTTCATTAGATGTATTAAATATAATAAAATGAATTAGCTATTTCATTTTTATTACATTAATTAATTAATTAATATTTTAATCAATTAATTGAAATTATTTCTATTAATTTCGATATCAAATGATATTTTATCTTTAAACTATGATTCATATTATTACAATATTAATATTATAAAAAACATAATAATAAACTGAATATCATATAAAATGATGATGAATGATGTTATAGCGAATAAAAGGCAAAATGCGGTACATTAATTAAAAGATATTAATATCTATGTACTTTTATATTACGCATTTTTTTAGTATTATTTTTTTATATTCTAAAAGTCTGACTTTTAAAGCAAGAGATCGAGAGACTTTATGTTACAATGTAAATAATAATAAAAAATAATAATATTTTTACACATATCCGTTTTCACTGAAAGGACCTAAAATTTTTTCCCATGCAGGAAATTCTTTTCTTTATACAATGACATATGTAAAAATTCCATTTCTAATGTATATTTCTTGTTGGTGAAATCGGATATGAGTTATGTAATACGATGCTAATCACGTGCATCTATCGCTTTGCATGACAAGTGACAGCAGTGCCTAATCTACGTCACGGTGACAGTACATAAAATGATATACAGGGTGATATATATGACGCACGACGGATCATATCGTTTACGTGATTCTCATGGCGGTCAATTTCGGAACTTGGTGTAACTTCTGTAAAGTTGTGCGAGTTTGTGTGACCGACGAGAGAATCCATTTCAGTTTTCCGATATGTCTTCGTTCCACCATAGAATATTAATTCCCTCTACAAAGTTCTCATGCGAGAATGTTCATGACAGCTTCCGAACATCCTCATAGCTAATAAAGATTTATTACAAATGTGGATTTTAAATGAAAATAATTATATAATGATTTTAATATACAAATTTAAATTTTTGTATTACTGATGTGTTAAAAATATATATCTTTCATTAAAATTATTGTTATTAAATATCATTTTAAGTAATATAACATATGTATAAAAATTTAATTATAATAAAAACAAAAGAAAGTAACAGGATTTTATATAAAATTAATAATTAGATATAAAATAAAAATATAATGATATATCGCTAATACATTAATTTTTGCATGGATTGTTGTGGAATGGTATTAAGGAGACAATAAAGATAGATTATTGATCATGTACATCATCATAAGATGAATTACAGTAAAAAATTTTGTAAATTCGTTACATTATTCATTAATTTTACTTGGAGGCATGTTAATAATTTTATGATACGTGGTTGTGTATATCCGTTTTTTCTGTGGTACGTGCAAAACACCCTGTATATGATCAATGCATTCTTCTCTACGATCGCTAGTCGGCATGCTGCATTCCACCGAGAATTGTAAGGTATATATTTCTATACGTGTCATACACAATTTTTGAGTCACAATTAATTACGGCATATTTACACACATATGGCATATAATAGACACACATCTTGTTTTTGAGCAATAAAGAACATAATTGATATTATTTTGCAACAGTAAAATATGTAGAATGTTGTAGAAAATATGGGTAATATAAATAGGACACATAACATGTGTATAGCATCCACTAATCATAATATTTTTGAATATAATATCGTAATTTTAATAATTCAGAATTAAGATATTTGTTTAAAAAATAAGAAAAATAAAATATTTGTTTGTCTTATTTATTTATATTATTATTGATTTATATTTTTTCGCGTAGAATACAAGTATTAAATTACAAACTACAAACACAATAGCCTTAAATAGCTTCTTTTTTAATTAAAGCAAAAATCTGGCTAGGTATAAATCTTGTTTTTGAAAAATTAATTGAAAACTAAATCTGTATTTTACAATTCCCATATTATCCATGACATTGTATACTGTATATGTTATATCGTTTATGCAATACCATGTAAAAACAATTCACAATGAACAACAGAAAATGTTTCAGTTTTGCTTTTTTCTGATGTATTATTAATTTTTATAAAAATACAATTGTATTATTTATGACGTATTGTACAGATCAATATGCAAAACATAAAAATTTTAAATAAAATTTTGTAATTTTATAAGTATTATACAAACGATATATTATTTGTATTTGAAAAACGGAAGCATAAATCTAAAAAATTTATTTTTTAGGAAAAACTTGTAGATATATTAAAGAATAATCATAACTGTATATCTCAACTAATAATAATATAGCCAAAGTAATATGGATTTTTCAGTATTTAATTTAGCATATATATACAATTATATCGATTATCTAGTATATAAAGTTTACTGCATGCACTTTCAAAATAACTGTTGTTAATTATTTTAATTATTTTAATTAAATGTTTAAGCTATGTTATTTTATAATTTACGTAAATTGTTCAGTTGAAATGATTTATAGATATCAATAATAACAAATTTTGTTTGTTTGCTTCCACTTCTCAGAAATAAATTCGTTCAAGTCACTATTAATAGAGCCATTTGCCTCACGCAAACGGAAGTAACTCGACAAAACTAATATTTTAACATCTCTTTCTTGCGTGATCACTCAGTTAAAGTATTCGATGTAATCTACAACATGCACTTGCAGACAATTCTTTATAGATAATGTTCCCCATGCTTTGCATGGGAAAAGGGATAGCAGCGGAAGTGAATACATGTATTTCTCGATGAAACTCGAAATAAAATTCCTATAAAAAAACCGAACTTGCTAAATTATTAAAGTTTCATTCAAGTTTCAGAAATTGTTGATTCGTTCAAATTCGATCGGTCAAGCAGACATTTCACGAATGTGAACGCTATAATTGTTCGATGTTCATACTAATCTTGAAATAGCAAATTTCTAAAAAAATTTTTCGAAAATCTCAGAAATTTTTTATTATTTAAGTAATTATTTGACAAATGTGATTTCATCGACCATAAAATATCAGCATAAAATGGACATGTATGAAAAGTGATGGTATGAAAAGATTAAAAAAAAAAATCATTAGTGATGCTCTGATGCTATCGTTTCTTATAAATTTATATATATAAATATTTAATTAATTAATCGAACGATTGCATTCCGATTCATCTTTTCGTTCGGTATATATAAGTATTTAATCAATTAATCGAACGATTACATTCGGCTTGCCATTTTACTCGCTGCGTTACAGTGAATATCGCGCGAGAGAGGCAGGCAACATGTGCGGCGTCGTGCACGATTTCGACCGTCCGCGCGCAGACGAAAAACGGCCAATTTATATCTCGACTTCCGGACGCGATAGCGATTTTGTTCTTTTTGCATAAAATTCTACACCATTTCGCGGCACTACCGTTTAAATCTCGTCCCAATCGCCCGAGGAGCGGCTGACTTACAGTGAATATCCGAAATCTGCTTCTTGGACTCACGCTTAAGTGTAATATTTATATATATCGAATAAAAAAGCGGAACGCAATCAGTCGAATAGTGAATTAAATATTTATATATACCAAACGAAAAGATGAATCGGAATGCATTCGTTCGATTGATTCGTTAAATATTTATATATATAAATATATATATAAATATTAATATTATATATATAATTATATATATAATTATTATAATATTATATATAATATAATATTATAATATTATATATAATTATATATAATATTATATATAATTATATATATAAATATTAATATTTATATATATAAATATTTAATTAATTAATCGATTGCATTCCGATTCATCTTTTCGTTCGGTATATATGAATATTGAATTCACTATTCGACTGATTGCATTCCGACTCGCCTTTTTATTCGATATATATAAGTATTTAATCAATTAATCGAACGATTACGTTCGGGCTGCCATTTTACTCGCCGCCTTACAGTGAATATCGCGCGAGAGAGGCAGGCAACATGCGCGGCGTCGTGCACGATTTCGACCGTCCGCGCACAGACGAAAAACGGCCAATTTATATCTCGACTTCCGGAAGCGATAGCGATTTCGTTCTTTTTGCATAAAATTCTACACCATTTCGCGGCACTACCGTTTAAATCTCGTCCCGATCGCCCGAGGAGCGGCTGACTTACAGTGAATATCCGAAATCTGCTTCTTGGACTCACGCTTAAGTGTAATATTTATATATATCGAATAAAAAAGCGAGTTGGAACGCAATCAGTCGAATAGTGAATTAAATATTTATATATACCAAACGAAAAGATGAATCGGAATGCATTCGTTCGATTAATTCGTTAAATATTTATATATAAATGAATATAGCGATACGGATCAATATTACAGTTCAATATCCAGGCTTCGAATAGCAATTAAATAACTGGAAGTATTCCATTTACTATAAAATAATGAATTGCAGGAAAAAATTTCATCGATCATTTTCTTTAATATAAACGAATCTATTACTAATTGGATCATGTTATCTCTCACAAAATAAAAAAAAATACAATTGATAATTTTATATTTATGAATAATATTCATGTTATAATAAAGAATATTTCTCCGTTAACAGAATTTTGTTGAATTTAATACGATAGAGTTTATGTACTTTCGTATAAAAAATTTTCTCAAAGTTACAGAAAAAAAAAGAATTTTAGTCAAATCAACGTTATCATAATGGCTTTCATTTCACAAAATTTAAAGTTTACCTAATAATAATAATAGCTGAAAATTAATACATATTTAATCTGTGATCAATCAAACATGAAAGAAATGTATTTTAATTTCATTCATATCTTTCATCATGCATCCCAAGATAATAGTATCCACCTCCGTTTCAATGAAGAATCCAGATTCTCTCCTCCCTCTTCAAATAAAGTGAAAATAAATTTTAAGATAATTATATGAATTATTTTAAATAATTATTTGAATTAGTTTCTCGAAAGTTTCTAAGTAATATTTACCTGTTAGAAAAATGTATCGTAATAAAGTTATTGTTAATTATGTATTTTAAAACATACAATCAAAATTAAGACTCCCGGAATTAAGAGAGGAATAATGAAGGAATCCAGGATTCGCCACTGTCCTGCTTTTTAGGGGGAAGCACGCTCGAACGACACTCGTGCAATCCGTGTATTCATTCATAAGCATCCAGCTAGACAACCAGCCGGCTATTCGTGACGGTCGGTTTTTATATATTTTCCCTTTCTTTTTTTTCTTTCTCGCTTTATTCTTTTTCTTCTCATTTTTATTTTTTTTTCACAGGCAGGCAGACGCTCTACGCAAGACAAACACGCAGGCGAGACACGAGTTGTGTGTGTATGCGACACGTGGGTGCAGTACCGAGTAGCGTCGTAGGCCTGTCCGCCGGGTGGCAGGGGGGGTGCCGCCCCCGTAGGGAACGGGGACCGCGGGGGACCAGACGGCGGACGCCCCGGTGGTTTCACGCCGTAAAGACTGTACGATTCCTCCAACAGCTCCGTATCGCTGCACCACCCACAACAGACATACACATCCGCGCTATCAGACATTCAAGTGGAGGAGTCGACGGTGCGGGGACCAGTAATGGGAAAAAAAGGGGAGCATGGAATAGGAAAGAAGAAGGTTGGAACTCTCGTCCAGGGTGGAACGGGATGTTGGAAACAGAGACGACGATGTTTCGCCGACATAGGGGGTCGTCGTCAGGCGGAAGGGAAGAGAGATGGGCAGGGTTGGTTTCCAGGTGAGTGGAGTTTATTCACCCGGAGAGCGCACGTTCCTGACTTTATGGAAAAATCTCTCGACAGACTAAATGTACGCGAACTGGATGTACTATCGGAGTTTTTATTAAGGACGTTATTATATATATCTAATAAATTACTTCGTGTTTATTTCTCGATTAATAATTTCCCGGAACAAAAACATCCGTTATATATAATATATTAAATCTGCTACTGCATCAATAATATCATAACTATTTAAAGTTTTTAATAAACTCAATCGGTTCCAATATATATATATGGGCATATGATAAACTATATTCCACATAAATAAAATATGTATGCCAATAAAGCGAATGAAGTGAGTCTCATCGTGATGAAATAGCCAATATTTTCTTTCGTTATTGATTATATAAATTCTGCTACTTTTTCCCTGTGGAAATTATATTCTATTATTCACATACAGCAGCCTAGATTTCCTCTACTTCTCTTTATTTATATATTCATCAATTAAATCTTTAATAAACTATGTAACGGCCAAATATAAATTCCAATAACAAATTCTCAATCTTGTTAAAATAAATTAATTTACAATTGAATAAAGTCTAAATTCTTTTTATCCACTCGTACTTTTTTGAAAGTTCATTCGATTTTAAGTCATATAAAAATTCATATCATTTTTATGAAAATAAATTTTAGATTGATTTAAAAAATCTATCGGTAAATAAAACAGGAAATCTGAGATACTCAAATATGTAAATTTCATTAATTATAGCATGACGTGTCTCTTTAATTATTATCGAGTGCAATCGCGGTTAATTATTACGGAAGTGCGCAAAACTCCGGTTACCTGGCTTCTTCGTCGATAACAGGAGTAACGGTGCCCGAGTATTGCGAATAATACGGATCTTCGTAACTGCTACCGGCGCTGTAAGGCCCGGGTGGATATCTTCCGCTTCCGGAACCGACGCCACCACCGCGCTCAGGGCTGCTCATGTATCCACTTTCTCCGTGTAGTCGATCTGAGAAGATTTAAATCAGTAATGTGTGTTAGTCGGAGCCAGGGATGTCCATTAAAGTTCACTTTTCTTACATTATCTTGTTATATTGTTAGTTTATTTGAAAAAAAAAATAAATTTTATATTTAGCGGAATTTCCAATAATAATAATGAAATATATGAAATATGTGCTAATAATAAAATCTTAAATAATATTATAAGCATACATATATATATATATATATATATATATATATATATGCATACTATTAAATAAAAAAAAAAATATATATATATAGAGCTTGTAATAAATGATAAAAGTTAATGAATGATAAATAAATAAGTGAATAAAATCAGTAATTTATTTAATGTGCTGATTATACAGAATTAATTGCACGGTATTAAAATTTTTCATTTATTCTATGCAAAATATTTCGTGCGATTTTTTTTCAAATGAATCATCATCATTGTTATCTGTTTGTGGCTCGATACCTCCGTCGAATTCCGTGATGCGCGAATGTGCAAATGAAATTACGATCAACGGACCGTATCAATGAAGAAATGTCGTTTATCAGTCATCGTGATGGAGGATGAAGAAGAAAGATTTTTCATGATCGTGCTTTTTATGGAAGGGTACACAATCTATGACTCTCGAGTGACAGCGAGAGCGGATGAAAAATGAGATGAAAGGATGCTGCTTTTCATACATTATGATATCACATAGCATTCTAGAAGGCAGGTGACATACGCAAAAAGTTTTTGAGGAGCTTAGTTCTCTTAGTGTTGGGAATATTAGTTCGCGAGTTTTATTATAACTTTGTAATTCCAACACGCATTTTATGTGTCATTAAAATTTAAAAGCATGAAATTGCTTAGAATATTAATTCATAACACGAATAGAATTTCTTATAAACGCATTTGTATATAAATGTCTTGAAACAAATACCAATAAAAGATAGAGGAATTTCGAAATAAAATTAAAAATGCAATACATATTCAATATGTATCACGATTTCGAGAATATTTCAAAATGTATCAAGATATCTCAATTTTAAATACAATTATTGTAGAATTCCAAAAGTGTTAATAGCAAATAAGAATTGATTATAATAAAAATTAATATATCGAAAATTAATATAATATTATGTATGATAAGCATTGCTTCGTATACTAGTTAATTTTGTGCGATTGCGTGTAATTAATAAAATATAATAAAAAATTTGCGTTGCAAAGCACTCGGTTATTTCAAGGTTCAATTTCGGAGACAACACCCAATGAAATTTCAATCTTCTTCTTCTTTGCGCAATATGTCAACAACATTCAAAGTTCACCGGGGTAAATTCAAAACGTTTCGATTCAATCTATCCATTCCCATCTATTCCCAACACTATCTCCACGGTCTCGAGGTCGTTTAATTAAAACTTGGCTCGATCCGGCTAATCGCAACTGCCAATTTCATGGTTTTCCTGCGGTTATTGCATTCCGAGCAACCAAAATCACTCTTGTGCTCAGATGTTTCCTTATTACGAATGCGCATTGTTTCTGTCATGTTATATTAAAATATCTTTATTATAAATTTTTAGTATTTCCACTCATGTTTTATTCTATCAAGCTTTTATTCTACCAAATAATTTACTTTTACGAAATATATACAATGTTTTAAAAAAACAAGCGAAGAAAGATTAACCAAAGCGTCAAAGTAATCTGTGCATAAAACTGACAAAGGTTTATCTATCATTTGAATTTTTAATCGCGATGGAAGCAACGATAAATAATTATCTCCATATTGTTCACAAATAAAACAGAAGTGTATTTTGTGTTTCAATTGGGTTCTATTTCGCTTCGGACACAGTTCTATTCTGTTCGGTGATTGCACCGTTTCAAAATTTACAAGGCACACTGTCTACAGCGCGTATCCGTTTCGGAACAAATTGTATCACGATAAAAGTCCTTAACCGGAAATTGTATCAAACGCAAGTGTGTGTATACGGCTACGTGATTTGACCGCGTGTACGTGTTTTTCGATACGTATCCGTTGCTCCATCGTCAGTAGGTTCGAACATTTCAGTTCGGTTCGATATTTCCCTTATGAATTGTTAACGATGTTTCGTCCAATCTACTGTTTGCGATCAGAAGAGAAAAATGTATTGTTCGTTTGGGACGAGCAATTCTTTTTTATTATCATCACAGGTAATTTTTTTATGATCATTAGGGTAAGCTGCACGTAATTGTTACTTCGTATGTTAATAATATTAGTAATAAACAGCTTATTTGATAATCTCTAATTCTAGACAAAACAAAATATTATAAATTTTGAAGCAATAGCAAAGTTAGTCGATTTTCAACAAAGCACGCGATATAAGAATATTATCGATCTTGGTCGATTTAAATTATAATACGTTATTTTATTATCGATCTGTTATCGTCCCGTTGCGGAAGGATCGAGCTGTGTCTGACGAATGTTTAAGGATACTACTGACCTGGTATACTATAGAGGGAGACCGAGCTGTCTCTAGAGAAGCGCGCCGAGCCCCCGAGGCTTCCAAGGGGACTCTTACCACACTGGTAGCTGCGAAGCGGCTTGGCCGGCGGCACCCCGCCACCACCTATCCAACCATCCAAAAAACCAAACAAAAAACCAATGTACCCAGGTGCTCCGATGCACGTATCTCTCTGCCACCTCGCTAAGCCGTTCGACGTTCAGTGCACATGCAGAAGTGAACAAGAGGGGATCTCGATCCGCGTGGTCGTTATCGATGTCTTTTCGCCAATTTCTCGTGCGAAAAGAAGCAGCTTCGTTCAAATTTACACAGTGCCCATATAAATATATATATCTGATAATTCCGAATACATGTACGAATCGTATTTCCTGAGCTGCGATTTTATCAGGTGGAACAAAAGATCGGGTGATAAAATTAATAATCGTCTATTAAAGATGACTTTAGATGACAATCACACTCACATTTTTAATGATTTTGTAATGAACGCGTAATGATTACGAATGTCGTCGAAATTTAGATGCGACAGCTTGTCGACTTTTATATATGCACTTCTCGATCACACGTTATTACATACAATGGTCGCAAAGCGTCAAGAGAAATGTCTTCTTTGTTTTCGTCTAATAAAATCGATTCATCGGGCTGACACAGCAACGTTTCATTCTGCAAAAGATAGATTCGCCACGTCATACCAGTCGATGATTAATTGTAATTGGTCCACGATCAGCTATTCACGCGTCCTGAATCTGTCCTTTTCGGCGTCTTAGTATCTGTTCAAGTAAAACGTTTCTCTCGACAACAAGGAGAACGTTCGTGGCGAATGAGGCCATCCTTTCCCTTGGACATTATATACAGCTTAAATGTTTTTGAGTCATCCCGAACAGAGCATTTGGTCAACGTCGATGGTCGTAACGATTTCAGATGTTGAATAATCAAGAATCGAAACGACCTTGCAACTATCGATTGGAAGAAATGGAGAGCGATCGCGGGTACGTGCGTCTGTGTGCGTTAAGCTTAAAGCATGGGGTATGCGATGAAAAAAATTGGTCGAGTCAGAAGAAGGTTTCAGAGGGAAAATTATTAAATTAAAAATAATCGTTTCACTACTTTGTGCTCATCGATCATTCTTTGCCACTCAATCGTGCCACAAAAATAATGTTTTCAGAATGAAATGATTCTAACATGTAGGTTTTTTAGCAAAATTTATGAACTTATAATTATTCGAATTCAAATAGTTGATATTATTATACGATGAATATTAATTATAAATATAAATATTATTATACGATAAATATTAAACAATTTTCAAATTATATTAAAATCAATTAAATCAATTTTAAAATTAAATTCAAACTCATAAACTTGATTTCTTTTTACACAATTATTAATTCGTTAAAACATTCTTCTATATTCTTCCTATTCTATATAGATGTTTACGTTATGAATATTTACAATAAATAAATAATATAAAATAAATAACTGTTCTCTCATAATTGCTCAGTGGATTCGACCAATTTTTAGAGGCAAACGATAAAACTTTATTTTTCTTTGTATATTGTATAAAGCTTATCGGAATTGGGCAGGTTTTTAAGCATGTTAACTCCATTAAGACAACCAGAATATTAAAATCTATTTTCGTATATGAGTCAAATATAATTCTTTCGGCAAACTTTTAATTTCTTATGAAATTTTAACCAGAATTAAATTCGATATTGAAATCTTATTTTGCAAAGCAGCTTTGTTTTGTAATTTTAAAGATTTTGTTTTAATTTTAAAGATTTGTTTTGTAATCTTAAAGTTTCTGGTCAACTTAATGTAAGGGAATACGAAGTTATGTAGGACGAGCGTATGTAGATTTCGGAAGAAGAATGTTCTAATGATTTCTATATCACATTGAACATCAGTTGAGCATGAAGGAAATGTACATAAAATGCGAAGCGATAAATTCTTATCGATATCATGAGCGGCCCAAAGCGTTTTTAAAAGTTTTATCTTATTTACTACTACATTAGATATGTGATTTATTATAAATATATAACTTGAAAAAAAAAGAATTCATTTCACAAGTTAAATTATCTTATTCGTATATATATCATATATAATAATTTGAAAGGGACTATAATATTATAAAATCTAATTGCGATAATATTTTCATAAAAGAGTTTGCGAATTATCGAGAAAAATCCTTGATCAGTTTGTCATTTAATTTAACTACAATGTAAGCAGTTCTTTCATTTGGAGGACAAATTTCATAACAAATTTCATATCGAAAATTTAAAGGAAATGTTTCTTATAATATTGAGCCGCTCATCGATGATCTCGAGGATATGAAATTCGTTGATCGCGAGCACAGTCGGTTTGCACATCTGTACGCAACGCGATGAGATGTGCATGTTTGTACGGAAATAGAAGAGGAAGAGGAAAAGAACGTGGGCATTCGTATACCTGGTGTGGTAAGAGTCTTGGGCTGCGTCGGCGTCGCGCTCGGTCCTCCGACGACGCTCGATGCCGCCGGGCTGTACGCTCTTAAGAGCGATCCACCGCGCGGCAGGGTGCTGCTTCCGCCCACGTAATATCCGCTGCCGGACGTCGAATTCTTGGCTGTCTGCGGACAGAGAAGAAGAATATGAGCGATTCACATGCTGATAATCCGAAAGCCGGGGAACCATTTATATCACTTTTCAAGATGGCAATCACGATAATTTAATTTGACGTGCGATTGTGTGGCAATCGGAAGCTATCATTTCTGAACAATACGTTCGATTCAAATTGCAAGATGCTTTTATTCAGTTATTTATTTATTTCGTCATCTCTGGAAAATTTCGACATCAGATATGATCAGTAACATTTTTTTGCAGGCATTGAAATTTCTATCACGATTATTCGGGATTGCTATCTCGAGAATTGCCGAGAGGTAGATTCTTATCCATGTAAATTTTCGTTATACGAATATTTCTTCAAGAGTAGATGTCGCAACAAGACTCGGTACCGTTAACGTTAACTTTCCAGAATGTATTTTTCAGTGCGGGCATTTTTACGATCGTTTTAACATATGTGTTACGTATCAATTTCCCGACGTACATAAACTTTTATCAAGCTTGATTGATGGCGGATTTAATTCATCGTCATCTCAAGTTATTGCACAAATAAATTTCTTTTTTCTCATCACTAAATAAAAATATTTAAAATTTTAAGACTTTTAAATAGAAAAAAATATTTACAGCTATTTGTAGTTATTTTTGCAAGTATTTTTATGCATATCCTTCTTTTAAATGCGTGCAAGACCTTGAATTCTTCCCGGCTTAACTTTCAAGAAAATGCACTCTGAGATATTCACGTGCTCAATAAAGCGCGTTTGTAATTCCGCTCTTGCTTGCGACATGGAATGTTTAAGTTATTCGTCGTATCATCTCGCTTATTCTGTGTCTGAATAACTTTCCATGCAAAATCAACTTTCCCATATCGATCATTCAAAATGCACATTAGAGGTCATATACTTGAATTGTAAAATAATTTAAGAAAACAAAACTGTTTGTCGCGTATTACATTGAAATCGACATTTTTACGAGATTATATTGTTGGTTTAATCTACGTATTAAATTCTCCAAAAATCAAAGAATGTACACTAATTTTAAATTAAAATATTTTGAGAAACTTCAAATAAATAGTCTTCAAAAAGTTTAGTCGCATTCTTTTTCAATATTTGCTTCATTAATTTGTCATTATATTGAAATTTTTTTTTATTCCATGTATCAGAAATCATTAAGATTGATCATTAAGAAAAATATGATAGTAAATATTACAATATTATTAAATTAAATTTATTAAATTAAATTTATTATTTAATTTACTTAATTTATTATTAAATTTAATTTATTATTAGTATTATTAAACTTATAAATGATAAGATTTAATGCATACTTGATATATTTGGCATAAGATGATTGCAAATTTCTAGCATATTTATTCCACAATTCATGCGTGGGCGATTTCGACCATCTCGTCATCTCTTGGTCAATCAATGGTAAAAATTACATGTCGTGCGCAGTGGACTTAAAATGGGGCGCCTTAACCTGCGACTGTCACGAAAGGTCCTCCCTCTTCTGAGACTGATTCCGCTCTGTACTCACGCGCTCGTACTCGAACGATTCGCATCGATTTCGCTTTAGTCGTTGTTTACCGTTGTCGGGAGTTTGGCTCGCTTTTGGTCGCTTCACTCGCCGGGCGAATCGGTCAAGAAGAGAGTGGAGAGAAAGAGGTAGATCCACCGGTTCGGTTCCGAAGAGAATGGCTCGAAATTAGAGCGCCCTAATTAGTGAGAAGCGACAGAGATCGATCGCAAGAATAAAATCGAAAAAAAGAGAAATAAACTTTTCTTTCTGAGGGAAATTTCTCTTAATTCAGGTACATCTTTTTTCGTAGTAAATAACTCACTCAATAAGTGAAAAGAAAAAAATAATTGCTTCTCCAGGCATCGATCATACGTCGAATGTGAGTGAAAAGAGAAAAAAAAACAAATATTCTTTCTTTCGCCTTTTGCACGTCTACGTGAAACCTGAAGAGAAGTCCATAAGCCATTGAAGGGCTGTCTTTTCACTCTTGGTGTCCTTTTAATTATAGAGATCATCAAGCGAGAACCAACAGAGTTCTAGCGAAGCTTTTGATTGCGCGGATGGGAAAGGAAGACCAGAGAGAAGACTATTGCTGCATTTTGTGTTTTCAGTCAGCATGAAAGCTATCACACATCGAGCGAAGAAAGTCGACAGCGAAGCACCTTTATATGCTTCAACAAACATGTCAAGTATCAAAAAAGCATACGTCACAAAAAGTTTGTAATTTCTCGCTCACGCTAGCAAGCGAAATCTCTTTATCTTTCGGCTGCAGGTATAGAAAATTCAATCTCTAAAAATTTAATAACGAGCAAATGACGGAAGAAGGTCTACGTATCGTTGTCCCGATCACGGAAACTATCAATCAGCGATAGATAAGTTACGAAGAAATTGTGCGACGAGAGCAAAAAGACCTTGCAACTAAAAAAAGAAAAATCCATACAGCGAGTACAAGATAGATTGGCAGACGAGAGGAGATGCTAGACAATTCCTTGCAGTTTGACGAGAACGGTAAACGAGAGGAAGAAGGAGTCGCGTATAAAAAAAAGGATATTAGCAGGAAAAGTTAGTAAGAAAAGTTGAGCAAATGTAACAGACAATCCTCTTTTCGTTGAGTACGATCAGATAGACGTGGAATAGGATTAAAATAAGAGGCTGCAGCCAAGTGTGCGAGAGATAAAGAGTGAGAGAAAGAAAAATCCGGACCAAGAAAAGAAGACCAAGGAGTACTGTGTAAAAACGGCGAACTTTTGCTGCGAAGCAATTAAAGAAATAGTACTTGGACGCAACGAGAGCGATGATAAGATAAGAATGAAGAAATTCGCGATCAACTTCGGAATTAGTGTCCTCTCTTTTTCGTTCTCCGTCCTTTTAGGCCCGCTTATTGCGGCGATTTCAGGCATCTCGCCTGTAATTGCCGAGAAGAATGTCCTCAATACCCCGATGCATAGCGTCGAATTGACGCAAAAGGGTTACATCCAGGTGAGAAATAATTCGAGAGAAATTTCAACGTTCCTCGTTTAATTGCATCAAGAGCGTAAGACGCAATCTCATTTTTTATGCGATGAATTATTTAGCAATTAAAATTGTTTATATAACGAAAGAGAAAATAAAAATAATTAAGTAATTGAAAAATTTGAGACACAAATGTAATAATAAATGTAATAATTTGTCCGTAATCCAGAAATAAATGTCTATAATTTTCAACATCAGAAATATATATCGGATCTCTTTTTTGCTTATTAATAAATAAATACTGATTAATATAAAATTATTGTATTGTTAAGTTTGCAGTCAATAACATGACGATTTTTAAATTTTCCACTATAAAGTAGCTGTGCAAAAATTCTCGTAATTTCGCTGAAATGCTCAATTAACCGAGTAAATTGATTATAGATTGCGCAGTGAAACATTTCATAATCCAGTTAAATACATTGACAAAAAATAGGGGGCAAATAATGCTAAATCGATACGTTGTCGGATATAACGGATACACATTTTTCAACCAAGTATGGAAAATCGCGAGGTTTCTATCGATTACGTGAGCAAAAGAGAGTTATTCCATAACACGTGTAGAAGAAATTGGTTTCACATTGATTGCTTAATTTTCATCGTTCATTCTAAAAAACATTATGATTATGAGGTCCTTTCTACACGTACAATGAGTTTCAAGTTTTCTTTTATGCTTATTGTCTTCGACTGAATTTTAAAATAAAAAGTAGTATAAATTCTTACTCTTTCTTTCGATTTTTTATTTTTTTAATTAATTTTCTCGAATTATAATTTTATTTAAACAGATTTATTAAAATTCACAAAATATCTAATAATTTTTATAAAATTTTTTCAAAAACTAAGAATGTTAGAAAATTTTTATTCAAGATTTAATTTTATATATCGATTAAGAAATTAAAAAATAAAAAAACTATAAATATAAAGGAAAATAGTAATCATCTAAAACACTTTGTCGCTTTAATTAGATAGTGAAGCAGTACATGGTATGCTAGCTAATTATCTCCACTTTTTAGTTTCTTAGATGGGCATTACCCGTGCCGGAAATTCACGAGTTTACATTCTGCCTTTGGATAAAATCAACAGATTTCACATATCCACACTCGATCTTTTCATATTCGAGTAAGTATCATTATCAATCTTAACTTGACATTTCTTTTGTGAATAAAATTTTAAATTGATACACAATACATGGACGAATTTCATGTTTTTTTTTTCTAATTTATATGCATATTGCATCTAGAGAATTATTACGTAAAACAATAAATGCAGGGACAGTTCATTTTTTTAATAAAAGAAAATAGACTCACTGTTTGATAATTTAATAATGAGAAAAGCAATCTTGAAACATGTCACAAGAAATTAAAAAATATAAAAATTATTTCGCAATTTTATTTATAAATAAATCGAAAGTAACACTTCGCATGTTGTTACGTTAATATGGAATTACATCGAGACAAATGTAATATCTGCAAACGAGTGATAATAAACGCCTAATGTTCTTAGCAGTACTACTTCCCACTTCTATCTTGGAATTGTTTTAACCGCTTTGAGACAGTAATGAGGACTGTTTTCTTACATGGGGCTGCTATTATCTACTCCGGCATTCAACGAATAGTTGCACAAGAGTCATTTTCCCGCGGAAAGTCGTAACGAGAAAAGTATCTTCGCTTACGGAAAATCGTTTCTTTGCTCGCACTTATGCGCATTGCATGTGTTACTTCGTTGCAACTTAATAGTATGTTAATGGATATTTTACCTCGCGGCATTATCCTTTTATGTATGAGAATTAGATGTTAAACTCTTTCTTGTGAAACGCGAATTGCTCGCATTACAGAATCTTGCGAGATTTAACTACTTTCCGATAGCGAAAAATAAACGAAATAACTGAATATTTATGATGAAACAGAGAGAACCGAGAAAGCTCTATCTCACAACCTTGACGGAAAATATTTTGTAATTATTTCATAAAGATCTCCTTCTATAATAGTATACTATTGTATCATAAGCAATCTCTGAGAATATGTCATAAAAAATTAAATGATGTATAAATTGCTTTTCAATTTAAAAATTACAAATGTGAGGAAAATTAGTTTCAGAAAATTGAGCAGAGCTATTATTGAAGGTTGCTAAGGTTGAACAATTTTATTAAAGGATAACATGTTATTTGTGAATAATAAACATAAATAAAAAATCGTCTTAAAATCATATTATTAACGAGAAATATTTAGAATTGTACTCCTTAATGCATAAATTCTGGCTCTATATGTTTCGTTGCATTTTGATCGAGAAGGCAATATGCAAATATAATCCTCTTTCACCATCAAAGGGAACGAGCAGGAACGTTTGATTCGATCTTGGATATCATCGCGCGGAAGAAGCATTCATCTGGAAATCGACGGCGTGGAGGTATTTCGAAGGTCGGTTCGCATACAAGAGCACCGCTGGTATCACATATGTCAAAGCTGGGAGAACCGGGTCGGTCGTTACGCCCTGTGGCTTGACGGACATTTGGAGTTGCAAGGTCACCTCGAGGAGGTAAATCGTGCTCATTGTTAAAATACCTACAGATTTTGGCACAAAAATATTTTCGTATGATCTAAATTCAAATTATGAAGTGTAGGTCTCGGTTATTCACATCTTCAAAGCTTTTTTTTCCTAAATTATTCTCTATGCGATGCGCCATAAGATCATTAACAGAAGACTATTTTGCAGATGATCGAGCACGTGATCCCGGGAGGCGGTGATATCGTCTTAGGTCAAGAATATACCGACTTCGATAAAGGGCTAGAAGAGGGCATCGAGGGTGCGGTCTTGGGTTTTAATCTTCTGCTGGCTTCGGCGTTCAATTCTCTCGACAACGGCCCTCCAAGAGCCTTCCGATCAATCAATGAAACTACGGATCAGACTATGGTTCCCCTCGCGGCAACCCAGATGAAAATGGCGAGGCGTGATTCGAATTTCAGAGCGACGCGTGCACTCGATAGACTGGTTTCGATGCGATTTGCGCTCAGTCCTAATTGGTCTCGGAGAATTCTTCAGCAGAATTCCTCAACCGTATCGCCATTATCGCATCGATTAAATATTGCCAATGGTATACGAAAAAAGGAGACATTGCCGATCCGTAGACAGGCGATCACTTTTGTCGATGATTTGATCGGAGAAATCGGTTTATCCAAAAAACCATCGGACGATCCCTTGGGTCTACAGCTAGTAAAATTGTCTTACGTTCGCTGCCAGCTGGGCAGAGGTAGCCCGCCCATAGGCGATTCGTTAATGTTAATTTCTTGGAGCAGAACACCCGTAAGAATGTTCGGCGGTGCTACCATAAAAAACGTCGGCGATGAATGCGGTAAATTTTAAGGGATTTTTCCCGAGCACACTCATATTGTATCAAAGTGGAAAGCATATAATTAAAGGATGCTTTTCATAACAGAAAATATACTTTGCCACAAAAACATGAGTTTGTCAGAAAATTTAAAATTAAAATTATGAAACGCGCTTGATAATTTTTTTAAATTTGAATAAAGTAGAATGTTCGAGTGAGTTTAAAAAAATATTGATGTAATGTTACAAAATATATGTAATACTAAAAAATGGTAAATTTAAACGATAACGATTTATGCATTAAAATATATCGTTTTTTATTATTTTTAATATTCTCGAAAGTTTTTTATAATATTCCATTTTATTATAAGCTACTAGAAATATACCGTTATATTAATTTTAAAAAGAATATGATATGCATATTTATGTAGTTTTTAATTTAAGTTTATGCCTATTTTGTGTTCTGTAGGATGTTAATTTCCAGTGACATTATCTTCTTAAAAGTTTTTTTAAAAATATTTTTATATAGATATATTTGTACATTATTTGTAACCACTTTAAAATTCTCCGTTTTTAGTGCCATACGTAGCAAGCTTGTTGCAATCACTAATAAAGGATAAGCGTAAGCGAATTTAATAGTCTCGGCCTTATTAATGCATTTACGAGTAATTACTCACATAACTTTGATTGCACGACTCCACAGTTTCAAGTCGCATAATTACGGTTCGACTAAAAGTTCCACCCGCAATCGATGATTTCGCTTCACGTATCGATCCGCGTAGGGCGTTAATTAATTCTACAAATTTCCTTTAACAATCGCTGTCGCAAGGGAAAAATGTAAATGTCTCATGCCATAAAAACCGTGATTTTTTTCTCTATTTGACAAAGTTATTGAATTTAAAAAAAAATAGCTACTATGCGTACCAAGATTAAGCAAATTGCGAGTCGCGATAATAAATCTATATTCCAGTAATTTGATTTATCAAATAGAGAAAAAGTCAGTCAGAAACGATATATATGTTTAAAATCATCTTAATAAGAAGAATGAAAATTACACATATATAATTTTCATTTAACTTATTGTATTCTTATTTAAATCAACTTATTGTAGCATTAAAATATTTAGCGATCGACGTTGTAAGTTAAGTCCTTGAAAATTAAAAATAAAATGTACAATTTTAAGTCATGAGAAATTTTTTATTATGAGGCTAATTTATATTTCATTTTTTATTAATTGACTTTTCTACGGTTCCTACAATTCTCCAGTGTATTCTATACGAGATTTCGAAAGATCGTAGCTACGCCATTGTGCACGTTTAGTAGCATCTCTTTTGTATGCGGAATTTCGATGCTGATGTCTCGCGAATGCGGATATTCTGTTGACATTGATAATGCAGGTGAACGTTTTGAGTTCCAGCCGGAGACGCTTTTCGTCGATGGCGAACCGCGCCGGATGTTGAAATTCCATTTTCATTTCTCGCAATTCGAATTGCCACCGGCGAATAAATCGTACACCATCTCCATATAATTCGTGTTACTTTCATAATATAGCTCTAGTTTCCATCTCTATAATAATCATATTCTTTTGTAATTTTGCGCTAATGCAGTCTTCTGATATAATATATTAAAAGCCATCTAACGTTTACGAATTTCGCTAAAAGTAGCGATGCGTAAAAATCACTTTATTTAACTTTAATATGTTTAAAATAACATGTTTTTTAGAATTTAGATACGCTTTTTAGAAACCTCACACACACTTTTGCCTCCTCTTTTCTGCTTTACTTGTGCATAATCACATGTATCTATTAAGTATAATAAACTTTGCAAGAAATAAGTTACCGCTGCGAGGTAATAACTACACACGTACGTGCCTCATTAGCGATCACTAATTAAACTAATTAGACTAATCACTAGCATGCTGTTGGCATTGCAAAGCGTACAATGCCAAATACAGTTCAGTAACAGAATTACATAATTGGATTACATCAACCATACGTCTTCTCTTCGGCTGTGCTTTATTTGGCGAATTTCGAGCGCCAGTTCACAAAGTGCTCGCAAAGTCACTTCTATGACCATTTGAAGAGCGTATTACGTTTTACGACACGTGCGATGGAATCAGATGGAAGGAAAAAAGAATACTTTGTTCTCTCGGTGCTTTTGCTACATGAGGCAATACAGTCCGCGTGGAGTATATTTCTGTTTTATTTCGACGATAGCTGCAGGCCTCTGTGACATTAGGCGCTCTTACGAAGATAAACTTTGCAGATATTAATGTTACGACAGAGCCGTAACCAGGGCGGTGTATTTGCAAGATACGAGGACAAAAGTATATCTCTTCATTCGCGCGAATATTTTTCTCTCCCTTTTCCAAAAGAAGAAAAAAAAATAAAAGTTTAGAAGTGAAAGATATGAATTTTAGAATTATAATAATAAGAATAATGACAATTATATTGCATATTTTTTGTAGATTAAATAATAAATACGCGCGTAATATTTTATACATAAAATTGTTTATATGCGTTAATACTTTAATTCAAATCAACATTTAATCAGTTTCATGATTCGTATAATGTATCCCGTATTGTATACACATATATCGTGTATTATATTGACATGCATCATTACATGCACGATGCATCCGTTTACGCGGATAAAAATACAAATATAGTACGTTTATAGCATCGAGCGTTCGCCTATCTCCAATATTCTCGCTTTACAAAACAATTTTGTTAATTCTCAGTTAAACTGGCATTTGATATGATGGATAAAATGATTATGTTATTATAATAGATATATCAATTTTTAGTAAATTACAATACCTATAATTATGTTAACAAATTATATTATTTTATAAATATAAAATAAATATAGATATAACTATTAACTGCATAAAATGTATATATGTGTTTGATTTTTATTACGCATTTTACACATATATGAGATATTAAAATATCTTTAAGGAGATATCGCGTGAGATTTTAAAAAGTACAATTCTTGAAATTAATATAGAGAAATTTCAGTAAATATTTATGGTCAGCTATTATTTATTAATATAATAATTATTAATTAAATGCACCAATCAGGGATTTGTATAAATAATGTGGAGTATTAATCGCGAACGTGCTAGTAGTTTATTAAACGAGAGAATTTGACTGTTGTTCAAATTGAGTAATGAGTGCTGCTATTAATTCAAAAGCACATGTTTATGGTTATTAAAAATTCAAAATCTATAAATGAAATATAGCAGAAATATTATACACGTTATATATTTTCATTTTGCAATTTATATAGTTTTAATAATATTGTGAAAACTATTCTCGTAGGTGGAACATTTTTTATCTTGTTATATAACTTTGTTCTTTTATACGAGAAATAAATTTATATCAATTTAAATTCTTAATCTGTTAAAATCTCGATAAATAATAAACACAATTAAAAAGTTGCGAGGCGATTACTATATACGTTATATGATGAATCTTTAATTTGAGTTTTCACTATTGCAATTTTCTTGTAATATATTTTGTAGTAATTACATAATATTGCGTGATAACTTCAAGGATATGAGAGAAATTTAATTTCGCTATTTGAAAAAAAAAATTAGAGCCTCTCAAGCGATACATAGTCATGTGAAATAATTCTTTCTATTACAACATTTAGACGATATCGCGATCATCGTGTCCCTCTGACATAATTATCATAATGCTATGAGTGACAGGCGTGGTACTTATATAACGTCCGTAATTAAAAATTGCGTGTGATATGTATCCGCTCATCCGCATTTAAATCATACGAACAAGTTCAACCACTTTCACATCTATTAATATAAGATTTTGAAATTGATGGCTTTTGAGATAGATAGTATTAGAATGAGATATAATTTTATACAAAATATTTAAAATATTATTGATTGTTACTTTTTTTCAAACAAAATTAACATATTAAAATATATTTTTTAATTTATTATTTTAGCTATATTATTTAAGAATCGCTAAATTTAAATTGTGATTGTTTTCATGATTTTTCTTTGTACTTATTTTTATTAAATACGACAAGATAAATTTTATATGCGGAAAAATATATATTATAAAATTTAATCATTTTATCCCCAAAAAATTAAGATTATATGTATATGGTTCATACACGCCAAGTCTTTTAACTTTCATATTTTGTACACAATACATATTTGAATAACGGATCAGTATGTTATATATCATCTCATTATACATATATGTATAATATTCATTAACGTGTATATTTTATTAGATTTTTTGAAATTAAAAATTATGCTTTTGCTTTCTCCAAAATTGCTTATATCGCATATTCACGATGGTAACAATTTCTCTCTTTCTATTTTAATGAACAGCACTCCATTTTTTAGCGTTCACAAAATTATATGGTGCTATCCATTATTATCACAATAAATTTTATTGTCGAAGATAATATATTTTTTTATGTTCCTTTATTATGTTCCTAGAAAATTTTGCTGATATGGCTAAAAGAATCTCTAAGCGATATCTCTAGTATCTTGCTATTCACTATTTTAAGCTTTTGATACATATCAAAGATATATCTGTCAAAAAATCAAAGATTACGATCATTTATTATGAATCCAATATAAGCGAATATATCGAGATTTCTTTATGCACGAAAAAATAACAAAAGAGAAAAACATCGAGGGATTGATACAATCGTGCGAATAATTGCAACGCATGAACGTGAACTATTTCACGCTATTCTTAACATCGTTGTGCAACGTGGAAACGATTCGAGCTTGACGCTGCTTATCTCGGAATTAAAATACAACTGTTGTTAATTCGTCTTGCGAAATGCATGTGTCGTTGACTTTCATTTTCCGTGGTAAATTTTTGTGCGAATATTTTACGGAGAGATCGATTATGTTTTTGCTGATTGCGATTAACCGAGATACGATTACAACATGATCCTATCATTATATATACATATAATAATTATGTGTGAATTCAGTTTTTTTATATTGTACACGTACAAATAAATAACTAAACAAAAATGTTAATAATACAAGAACATAAAACAAAATATATATAATTTATTTCTAGTATAAAATATCTATTAAAAAAGATAAAGACAAAAAGTTAATTTTTTCTTAACTATACATGTTCATAATTTTATTTATTAATTTAAATTTAATT